TCTACAGCTTCAAGTTTGTGATAGTGTTAGCAGGGAAAATCCGGCGTTGGCCCGTCCGCGGCGTTGGCCCGTCCGGCACCTCTAATCTTACCCCCACATACAATCCAAGAACAACCTTTACTGATCTTCCTCTCCCCCTTGTCGTCACAAAACACATACACACACGCACACATACATAGAGATCTTCGATAGACATGTTAAACGTCGTCACCATCTCGAACCAAGCAAAAAATACCTCGTATTACGACATATCTTGCACCTAACCGCACTACCACCCTCAACCCCCCCCCCCCCCTTCCCAACAAAAAACCACCACTCGATTCCCCACACCAAATTTCCCACTTGCGCATTACCCTCGTCATACTCAGCAATCTTACTACATACTTACACATCTCCGACCCCTCCCCTCGCTTCCCCTCGCAGAAATCCAAAAGAAAAAGAAAAACAACCAAGTTCCAGAAAACAGGCCTAAAATAAACTAAATTAAATCATATACGAGTAGATGACGCGGCCCCGGTATACGCTAAGCACTTTCCCCCCCGCCCGCCGTCCCGGGATGATAATCTAGTAGCGAGTCAATAAGCGGCCGGGATGTGTTTAAAGAAAAAGGAAAAAAAAAGCTTAATTTGTCCCTCTTTTTGGGGGAGGGGATGAGAAAAGGGAAAAAAGGGCTAGACCGTGCGGTATAGTGGTGGGGAATATGGGTGCATGCTTAAGCGTATGCATGTATGTATGTGTAAGAGAGAAAGAGAGGCTAAACTGATTTTAGTGGAAAAGACCGATGCACGCATGCATATATAACGGAATTTAGTAAACACGAGTGTTTGGGTGTTACGAAAGGGGGGTAACTTGTTTAGGTAGAGATTAAGTTGTGAGAAGGGGGGGGGGCATTAAGTCTAGTTGAATTTGAGGGGATGGCATTATACTCTAGTCTAATGCGGACAAGTTTTATTGTGTATTCACGCCTTCTTCGCAGCCATCATTTGTCGATAGGCATCAATCATTTTCTGGCGCTCCTCGCCCAACTGCTCCCTCTTACTCAGACTACCCGCGGAATTGGGTATATTCGCCACCTTTGCCCCCGCACCATTCTTCACTTTAAAGATTTCCCTCGGAGTTTTTGTAAACGTCGGAGGAGCATGCACAATATCATTCAATCCCTTTCTCTCCTCCCTCTTCTTCTTGAGGGCCTCCCACTCGTCTTCGCTGTCGTGAGCGACTTCGCCGACTTTAAGCTTGCGCTTGCCCTTTTTGGCCTTTTTCTTCTTGCCGTCCACGGTTCGTTTTGTGGGAAGGTCGGCGGTGTGGTCGTCCCACATGGCATCTAGCTCGTCTTCTTCTTCCTCTGCTAGTTCTCTTCGCTCCATTTCCTTTTCGCGCAACCTGGCTTCCTCTTCTCTCCAACCCTTTTGTAGACGCTTGAGCCGCCGCTCGTGCTTGGTGACGCGGTGATCGGTTAGGCCGGCAATCTTCTTGCCGGATTTTGTGATGCCCGATAGCGGAAGAGCTTGATCTACACGCGCACGGAAGTCTGCCATGGACTCTCCGGGCTGGATCTTCAATGCGGGGGTTGTCTGTGGCGGCTGCTCGTCGATCTTGGTGCTCTTTTCTTCCTTGGTTGCATCTGTGGTTGTCGCTGACTGCTGCTGCTGCCCCTTCTTCTGCTTCTTGGGCTTCACGGACCCATCGTCAAGGCCTGAGCGCTTCTTCTGACCACCGCTGGAGAAGGCCATGAGGCGCTGAAAGGCCTTGGGGGTGTCGTCTGCGCCATATCCTTCGACCTGGGCTACTTTTCGCTTCTTGGTCTTTGGAGCACTGTTGAATGTGCGGGCTTTACCGACGGCGAGTGGAGCAGCGTGGAGTGTGGGTGGGAGGTCGAATCTACGGAGTGGTGTTAGGGCTGGTGCAGTGGCAGCAGTCGGACAGGTGCGTGACGTACTGCGACTCGTCGTCTTCGATGCGCCTGTGCTTGTGAGGCATGGCGGGCGGCGGGGGTCGGATGGGATACAGCAACGGGCGGTGGTGGTCGCGGTCACGGTCGCGGTCGCAGTCGGAGTCGCAAAAAAGTTGATGACATGGGGCAGGGATGTTTGGGAAAGAAGACGTGGACCCTGCAATGCTTGGCCTGCTTAGCGAGCGTTACGCGGCTTCAACCCCGCAGTGCGTTTGCATTGGGAAGTGTTTTCTGCATGGGCGTGCCGAATAAGGTGTGTGAGTGTGTGCAGTGAATTATTGCCTGTGGCTTGACGGCCAAATAGCACCGCCCGGCCGGTGTGGCTGACACGACACCGATGCTCCGAAGGCGCCGCACATACGCAGACAAGGTTCCCATAGGCCTGGACATATAGTACGCTCGCATCAGCATGCCCAAAATGCCGCAACAATAGGCCCAATCCGTAGTTTCGCAACTAACGACATGATTTGGAACCCGTTGCGACACGCTTCGGTCCGACTGCGTGTTGTCCAGCACCAGTCTGACATACGCTCCCTCCTCAGCGAGCCCGCCGTCTGGCATACGCTGCGTATGTACTTACCGTACACACCGGCCGACAGCGACGGCATGTGCTCCGGCCATGACCACTAGTCGAGTAAGCTGGACAAACGTGCTCTTCTGCTCCTATAACTATCCTCATCAGCTGCCCAGCTGCCCAGCTGCATGTCCACCTGAGGCGCTGTCCTTTGCCTAAGCCGTCTGCAACTCTTGTTTCTATCCACCAATCAGAAGCCCGCCAGACGTTGCGTGCTTGTACTCGCTCTCACACTGCACAACCTCTCGCCCACGGTTGCAGCACACGTGCCGGAAGCCTCAACCCATCCGTTCCAAGCTCTGCTTCATCTTCCCCACACGGCGTCCCCTGGTATTAGTTTGCAACCCCGTTTCGCGCCTGGTTTGGCTGGTCGCGCCCCGTTTCGCAATAAGAAGCTTCTGACACCCGTCCTGTTTCTTGCACTTGCACACACCCACCCACTCACCCACCTCAAAACTTCCTTTTGTTTGAACTTCAGCTTCCTGGCACAACCTGGGCGCCACTTGGCCGCCATCGACGGCTGTGGTTCCTGCATCTGGACAGCGGCTCTTATCGACAAGTCGTGGGCGTGCATTGCCCCGGTTTACTAGCAGCCTCAAACGCACAGTCGCCGCCATCAACAGTCTGGACCTCGTAGCGGGACATCTGCAGCGCCATTGCCCAGCTATCGAACAGGAAGGTGTCTCGAAACCTGCATTTTCTCCTCGCAGCCGCAAAGGCCTATTAGACGCACCTCGTCCCCCCCGATTGCTGCTCCAACCCACGACGACGACGAATAACCAACAAGCGCGCTGCATAGTCGCTTCCAGTTGCATCTGCCCCACGCTCAGGGTCCAGTTGACAGATCTTGTGAGATCCCCGCTGCCAATTGGCTCGTGCCTGACATGGCTGCAACATCACGACCACTCACCACCCAGCCTCTCCTGCGCCACGCCTCTCCCAGCCCAGCCCCTTCCTTTGCCAAGCAGTCACCACCCTATCCCCTGCATGCGCTCGAGGATGGGGATGCTGCAGAGTACAGCTCGGATGAAGACGACGACGACGGCATAGCACCCCGACGACCGACTTTTTGGCAACGCCTGAGAATGAGCATCCGGAGACGGAACGGAAAGCAGCGCGCCGACGATGACTTTGGCCTCGTGCGATTGCCAGACGAAAAGAAGCAACCCCCCAGATACCGCTTGCAAAAGAAGTATGCTGTCAGGGCGTTTGCTGTCATTCCGTTGTTGGTAATCATCTTCTTGTAAGTATCCGCCGTACCCGTCGTACCCGTCTCGCTTGACGACAGAACCCCGCATCCCCTCGTGACCAAAGACCCAACAAGCTAACTTTCCTAGTGGCGTCCTTCACATCATCAATGTACTACTTGGATATGTTCCCGTGTTCCTCGACGACCATGCACTACCGGGCTTGGATTGGAATCAGTACGACGAGGCACAACGATTGGACATTACACGTGACGTAACGCCTGTTCCATGTCATTCACACAACGACTACTGGCGCCGAGTCCCACTGTACGACGCCCTCCATTGGGGCTGCACTGGCGTCGAAGCCGACGTCTGGCTCTTCGACGATGAACTATTTGTTGGCCACAACACCAACGCCCTCACGCAGAACAACACGTTCCGATCCATGTACGTTGATCCTCTGACGAAAATGCTCGACCACAAGAACAACGGAAGCGACTTCGCAACCGCATCCACAACCAAGAACGGCGTCTTCGACACCGAACCCTCGCAAACCCTTGTCCTCCTCGTCGACTTCAAAAACGACGGCCACGCCATCTTCCCCGTAGTCTCCAACCACCTCTCCGCCCTCCGCGAAAAAGGCTACCTATCCTACTACAACGGCACATCTGTCGTCTCGGGCGCCATCACCGTCGTCGCCACCGGCAACGCCCCCTTCGACCTCATCACCGCAAACTCCACCTACCGCGACATCTTCTTCGACGCCCCCCTCGACAAACTAAACAACACCTCATCCTCCTCTTCCGACACCACCATTACCCCCGACGGCCAGGGAACCGTCGGCACAACGCCCAACTCCCACTTTGACAGCACAAACTCGTACTATGCTTCTGTAAACTGGGGCACAACGGTCGGTTGGCTTTGGTTCGGCCACTTGTCGTCTGCCCAACTCGTCAAAGTCCGCGATCAGATTCGCACCGCTGAAGAGCGCGGTCTCAAGTCTCGCTACTGGAGCGCCCCCAAGTGGCCGATTGGCCTGCGCAATCGCATCTGGAGGGTCCTCGTTGATGAGGGGGTTGGATACCTCAACGGCGATGATCTAAAGGGAATGACCGAGTTGGATTGGGGTGTCAAGAAGCATTGGGGTGTTTTGTGATGGAAATCTCTTTTTTCTCATCCATTTGTGTATGTGTGTGTGTGTGTGTGCGTGTGTGCTTTGCGCTTTTTCCCGCGCTTTTTCTTTAAAGATACCCCCTCCCCTAACATCTACGATTGTTTTTTTTTCCTTCATATAAAAGGATTGAGAAATGTACACGAGAGAGAGAGAGAGAGGATGGATGGATGTATGAATGCCATAGTTTACATGGAAAAAATCTAGAGAGAGAAAAAAATCTTTTCATCACTTGAAAATATACCCCTGTTTGCTTCTTTTTTCCCCCTCTTTGGCTTCAATCGTGAATATCCTTTGCTCTTGTTTTTGTTTTGTTTTCTTGTAGTGAGGGGAATTAACATGCACAGGAACAAGTTTACACATGAGTTATGTTGCATACGCCGCATACAATCTATGGAAAGCGGGGGGCGGGGGGTGGGTTTTAAAAAACAAACAAACAACTTTCGATACACATGTGGTAACGATGGCGTAACAACGTTTGAGGGGGGGATTTGAGAAAGTTTTCCAAAAAGAAAAAGCGCAAAAAAAAGAGAGCAACAAAGAGGCCGTGGTAACATGTATTTGCCCCCATCTTCCTCCCTCTACCACCACCACCGCCGCCATTTTCATCATATCAAGGCCAATGTTTCCCTCTTTCCCATTTCCTTTCCCATCCCCATCCCCATACTCATTCCAACATCAAGAAAGCAAGAGAAAAAAAAGAAAACGCTCTCCACCCAGAGAAAAGAGGATAAAAATCTAAAACATACTCCACCCCTTCTTCCTCCTCTCGCGGTCACCCCTGTCCTCCCGTCGACCCATCATACGCTTCTCCCTCTGCTCCAGCTGGCGCAAGCCCTCCATTTCCTTGAGTACGTGCTCGAGCAAGTCCTTGCGGCGCACGACATCGAGATGGCGCTTGATTTTCGGGTCTTCTTTGGCGAAACGCTCGATTTCGTCGGGGGAAAGGCCGCGGCCGAGGCGGGCGTCGAGTTCGCGGGGGAACTATTGCAAAAAAAAAGGTTAGATGAGTGTGAAGGTGGGGAAGGAGGGAAGGAAGAAAGAAGAAAATCTTACAATGTAGTAAAACTTCGAGAGTAATTCCGCGTCGAGGAAGAGATCGGCGGTTGTGGTAAGCTTGTCTGCGACGGCATCGAGGAAGACTTCAGGACAGTGGTATTTGTTCTTTTTGCTGGCGCATTGTTTGCTCTTGATGGCTGTGAGGCGGAGTTTGAGTACGTCGATGCGGTCCCGGAGGAAGACTGCTTCGCGGCCTGGTAGAATCGTTAGTTTATACCCATATTAAACGTGGGGGAGGTTTTAGGGACGTACCCTTTGCTAGAAGTGCAGAGCTGAAGCCACCGGCTCCACCAACACCGTCGCCTTCCAAGACAACCTGGCCGCTTCGTACGCGATCGATAAAGGTCATGACGTCTCTGACTTTCTTGCGGCCGCCAACTTGGTCCTCGAGTTGCTTGACGGCGGCTTCTACAACTTTTAGCTCTTCTTTGAGGACTGCAGTTACGTTCTCACGGCCCTTGGCCCATTCGTTGTCCTCGACTTCAATCCGGTATTTGTACGGTTTGATGCAAATTTCTAGCTCATCCGAGATGTCATAAGAGAGATCTTTCAGTATAGAGTTCGATGCGTCGGTAATCGCTTGCCGGGCAAAGGGGTGCGCGGCAAAGCGTGAGTTTGTGATAAGACGGTCAATGTGAGCTTGGAGTGCGCTTGCAACAACATTAGTTGCCAACCGTCCAACACCAAGCTTTGTCAGGGCAGCGCTGGAGCTGTCGAGCTTGATTCGCCAGATCTGGTCCTCTCCATCAATGTCTGCCTTTACAAGATTGCTCAGAGGATCGGTTTCTGGGAAAGGAACGTTGAGGTCATCGAACGGCCTGTTCCAGTAGCGTTGTGCAAGCAAGTTAAGTACTTGTTGGTCTAGCTCGTGCTTGAGCAAGTCTCGAACTTGCTGACGACCAAACTGTTCTGTGAAGCCGCGGAATGAGTGCTTGAATGCATCGAGTGACTCGGCTAGGTACGACTCGGCGCTGATAGGTCGCTCGTTGTACTGCACCTTGTACTCGTACCTTGCCTCCTCAAGCTCTCTTTGGATAGCCTCGCTAGTCGTCTTAAGACTGCCAGCCATGGTTTGTTCAAGCACATGCATGAGCTTCTTCTTGAGGTTCTGAGTACCTACAGCGAGCTCTGGTCGCTCGGAGAACTCGGGGTGTGATGAAAAGTATGCATGCTCGTTCTTTGTAATGGCGTTGGAGATATTGCCGTTGCCACGGCTGAAGAGCTTGGAGCCACCTGCGCCAGGTGGTACACGGCACACGACTCCGACGTATCCTAGACGAAGGGCATACTTTTGATCGTTCAGCAGGCTAGCACCGCGGTCGGCATCTACAAGATCCATCTTCGTAATGACGCCAATGGTCCGCTCACCCCGAGGGTCTACTCTCCTTGATGCTCGTAGCGCGGTGCTGTTGGCCAGATCCACGTCAGCGGCTGAGATGGCGAGAATGACATTGGGTGCCCTGATGTACTTGTCGCAAAGCTGGGCAATCTTTTCCTTAAGTTGAGGGGGCTGGTCTCGGCCAACAACCTGGATGTATCCTGGAAGGTCGATCAAGGAGAGATCCGGCACGTTTGGAGAGTAGATCCTGAGCTGAATGGGGTCGTCGGACACACAGTCGCTGGCCGGCACAGCGAGATTGAGATCTGTCAGCGTCTTCTGGACCTGACCAAAGTCTGTCACCTTGCCTAGTCCAATGGCAGGGAACTCGCAGTATTCTGCACGCGCGTCAGGGGTGTTGACGAGCGTCAGCTCAATGGGTCGACGGGTAACCATGTTGTGCCCCTTGGGGAGAAACTCATGGCCAACGATAGCCTCGAGGACCGAACTCTTTCCGGAGGACTGCGATCCAATGACGACAATGGACGGCAGTGTGAGTGATTCGGACTGTCCCACAGTCTGTAGCAGTCCACGTATCTCAATCATCTTCTTGGTGAGCATCATCATTTGCTCGTCCCGCGCAATCTTTTCTCCGTTTTGTCTATCCTCATCATCGTCGTCTTCCTGTGAATATCCAAAAGCAGCAGCAGCTGATGCACCGGCTGCGGCAGTGCCAGAGCCGCCCTGTTTGGGCTCCTCCGGACCTCTACCACCACCATTGCCTCCTGCACCGCCTGACTCATCTTTGGCGAGAAGCTTTTGTAGCCATTCCGGGTATTGTACGTTCTCAAGTTCGTCCTTGGTCGACTTGAACCCCTTTTCTATCTGATCGAAGAATCCATTTGCCGTATTGATTGCCCCGCCAGCCAACTCGGAGGCGCCATCTTTGGTGCGGTGGAAGAGGTCGAGGGCAAAGGTGCCTGCCTGGCCTGCTTGGTACTGGATATACGAGACACCGGCAATGATAGCGCCTCCGGTGGCGGCACCCACAGTCGCAAACTTGCCTACGAGTTTGGGTATCACTCTTGCAAAAGATATCGATCGCGTGGCGGGGACATTGTGCAGTGCGTAGCTACCGAGGGGCCATGGCCGGCGCTTCACAAGCCTGAGCGCGGCTTCATTTCGCAAGAGTCCGCCGGCGGGGAGCGAATGTGTAGTGTAGAAGCGTGGAGTGAGGAGCGGTGAACGGCGTGCGAGGGGGGCAAGGCGGCCCGCAACGAGCCTGCCGCTCATGTTTGCGACGACGAGAGGGCGAGGATAGGGATTTGGTGTAGCATAGGATCTGGCGTCTTGCTATCACACAGGATTGGCAACGTTGCACGCTCTCGAAGAGGCGGCTATGCACGTCACACTCGACTTTGGGTGCGCTGAGCAAAGGTGCTTGGGCCATGCGCCCGCGTGGGGCAGCTCCAGGGCTCCCCTCCAGTCGTCTCGCCAACTCAAGCCGGACAACACATGGACTAGACAGCGCAACATGTCGGTTGGATGATTTCTGCTATCTGGATACTGTCTAGTTGTCCATTCCGCATGCACGTCTCACTTCAAGCACAGCAGCGCTCGCTCCCCAAAGAGCCTCGGCACCGAGTTCTCTTCCTTGATCATGTCCCTCAACCAATTCCTTGAGCCCTCCACCTCCCTGCTTGCAAACTTGACCAGCACAAAGCCCCTGATATTTGCCGCACTCCATATCAGACCATCAGCCTTCTCTCTCTGTTGCCTTGCATGTCGCCTTTGCTCGTGTGGCAGCAGTTCAGGCTGTACGCTGTCCCCCCAATTTCTGCCGCCAATACGCGGCAGTGCCTCGAATTCATCCAAGAAGAATTTGGAAAGTGACGAGAAAACTGGTCCGCAAATAATCACTGTGCCGGAAACAGAGTAATTGTCCATACGTGAGGCGAGCGGCATCCCAGTTCTACCATGTTTGTCTAGAATCAGATTATCGCGTACAAGAAGCCTCTTCTTCCCTGCCTCGTCGAACGTCCACACTTCGTTCCGGCTCTTATACTCGAAAATGTCCCAGTTCTCGCCCCGTGCAGAGCGCCCGCTCGTGACCCAGTCGCATACGCACAAATTGCCTTGTCCTTTATCGAGATGGTAGGTCTGAGACTGGGAAAAAGCTGTGTGGGCAAATGGCTGCACCGGGTCTGGAAGATAAACCAAGGCAGCATCATGTTTCAGATGTACTGTCATATGTTGTCGCGAGACCAGTTCTGGACTGGGTGTCTTGAAGATCTTCGTCGAGCCTTGGGTTAACAGGATGAGCCGAGCCTTGTTATCCAATTTGATCTCCAAGTCGATACTATCCCCGGCGACAATGCCACCGCCGTAGGTGAGTAGAAACACTGTGTGTATCAGACCTGAAATTGGAGGCCCAGTCTTATTGTTGCCCTGGTCGTCATGGCTTGGTGGTGGCAGAGGGTCTGGCGCAACTAGCTTGAGTGGATATTGATACGAGACTGTTCCAAGGACTGGCTTATCTTGAGATAATAAATTGATGATAATAGATCCATAGCCAGGCTTAGAGGTAGAGGCACCGAAAGGCGAGTTGAAGACCATGGCGCGTTGCTAGCGGAGTTCAAGATGTACCATCACCACTCTCATATATAGTTGCGAGAAAGAACTCCACACCCACGCTCTTGAGTAACTAAAGCTTGGCTTGAAGTAAATCTCAAATACCTTTTTTTGTAGTTTTTCTTCTCTTAGATAGAGCCCCTCTAATAGGTGCAAAGAGAGTGTAAAGTAGTTATGTTCTATTCGTGGGGTGTTATCAAGCTAGATTTAGAATATCGATAACATCACGTGAAGTTCTACTTAGCACCCCCCGCTCTGGTCATCCAGTCAACGGGGTCAGCACGACGTCTTGCATAAGCCCTACCACTCATCTCCTAGACAGTAGTAAGTCACGGCGAAGCGCGGTAGTTGATGCGCACAGAGGTCGTGGCAAAGCCGGCTCCAGACTCAGTCGCCGCAATAATGGTCGACGCCCCCAAGACGAGCTCGAGGAGGGAGAAGGCAGGAACACACCCGACGGCCGGCGAGGGAGCAAATAGCCAATGATGGGCGCACCGAATCACCGTCACCACTACCGTCATGTGCACCCGGATTCGCATCATCACCATCCCTATTATCACAAGAATGGAGACGCGGGCAATGACACACGCTCCCCCGGCACACATCAAATCCTCTCTCCAGCCAACCTGATGGCCCAGCCAGGCCCACCACCTCCATCACCACTATGCCCACCCGGCGGCCATCATCACCATCGTCTTCCGTCTTCCATGCCAGCACCCAAGAAATCTACGACCACGGTCATCAAAGAAAGGTGCTCGAGGATGCCGCGAAGAAATCCAGAAAGCATTTAGGGTCGCATTTATAAATTACAGAGCTCTCCCCCGCGCCATCTATCGACACTGCCCCAGATGCAAAGATTAAATATAGAAGTAACATGAAAATAATTCCAATGTACGCCGGGCGGGAGATCTCGACACTAACCGTCCGCTTTCCACGCTACTACTTCGCCTGTCGACGACCGTCTGGCGCAAGTAGCGAAAATCCCGTGATCTTGCACGGGTTGCGAACGAGTGTAGAAAGAGATACTAGAGACAGAAGACCTGAGAAATTCACGAAGAATGATGTAAACATGATCCGGGCCGTTCTTAACACAAAAGAGGATTGATTCGTAGCAGCGCTAGAAATATCTATTGCCTTTTTCTAACGCGAGGTCCTACATAAACGAGTGGAACGAACATGTCCTAATTGAACAGCTCTTGGGACTATCGATCAAAGTTCCTAAGATGACACAGATTCCGGACTTTCCCTCTGGAGGAATGGTGTTGAGCGATGCTGCTTTAGTTGCGGCGGTCAAGAACAACGCGATCAACCACATCCCTCTCAACGACATCTCACTCAACGACATCGCGGCGGTCAACAACGTCTCGCTCGACGACGTCCCGGTCAACAATATCGCGCTCGACGACGTCCCGGTCAACAACATCGCGCTCGACGACATCGCGACGGTCGACGACATCGCGGCGATCAACGACATCGCGCTCAACGACATCCCTCTCGACGACATCGCGCTCAACGACATCACGACGGTCAACGACATCGCGGCGGTCGACGACATCGCGGCGATCAACGACATCGCGCTCAACGACATCGCGACGGTCAACGACATCGCGACGGTCAAC